AAACTTTAGACGAGATTATTTTTAAGAAATAAGCCTTACAAAAGTCGAGTGTTGATACTCGCGCACAGAAAGATTATGTTCGATTTAAGAAGTCTCAACACTTTTACTTTTCTGTTGAATTGTATTGTATCATATTGTTACAGAAAATACATCACTAAACTTCAATATAATAAATATATCTCGAGCACACACAAAACAAAAAAAAAAAAAAAAAAACTAAAAATAAATAAAAACTTTATTATATTTATATATACATAAACTAACACAATCCTGTAGTGGCGTCAGAAAGACAGTGTAAGATTTATTTCATAGAGGATTTACTACTTGTTGATAATATTAATATACCGGCATTTTTTGAATACGGCAACTTTATCTCGAGGAACGTGAGATTTGATTTCAAAGAAATCGGGATTGTAAATCCAACAATAAACAACGGGATGTTTAATGGCGAAATAAGATTTTAAAATTTAAAGTTTACACTTACGGTTTAATTGAAGACGAATTACGAGTAGAAGTCATAAATTAGACAACTATATTCTATTGTAGTTTTATTGCGATATCGTGCTATTTTATACTTGTCGAATAGCGACAGACATACTTTACGGGCGGTTAATCAAATAATAACGTGATCCGTTGTATCTTCGTGTAAACTGTTAATGTCGAGATAGAATTAAAGTCGCATTATTACATCGGATGAGAAATTGAGGACACGTATTAGAGCTGTAAACGTTTACTTTGTGTGCAGAGGATCGTCGCGCGAGTGTGTACGCGGTTGGTATTTCCAGCGGTTCGTGGCCTACCCCGCCACTGTTTTCTTCCCGAGACACCACACGACTTCGTAGAGGTCCGTGCTTTTATCCGCATATACGCGCGTGGATCAATGGATTAACGCGCGTACAGTAATAATAGTACTACCGTACATGCAGTTCATTTGCCGTCGACTCACCGTTGTCCTCGGCGAAGCTCCCGAAGAGCTTAGAAACAAACTCTACAATAACTAAGTATATAAATATTAATCCGGAAGGGTGTGGTCGTCCATAAATCGATCGCCTTCACTCCGGGTAAGTCGCTCCGTGGGAAACTGTGTTGTGTAGTATGCAAGGGACGGAGGAGACGGAGGAATCGCGTTGATCCCGTGCAAATGTTGGGTTCTTGACTGCTGCTGCTGTCGCTGACGCGGCGCAAAACGGGTCCCATCGTCCTCTACGCCCGCCGTTGATTTAATTGCCGGATACCGACGGGAGTATATTATAAACCGCTCCGTTTGCTTCCTGTCCGCTTCGGTCGCGGTCGTGGCTGCTGCAATAATTTATGTGGGACACGCGGATGCACGCAGCGACATTGTACGTTGTATATGTACATCTCCGCCGCCGCCACGCCGTTACTGTTATAAACATATAAGAGCTAGAGCTATACCGGGTTCCGCGCACGTACGTATGTACCACGGTAATGAATTTTGGAGGTCACGCGGAATCCCGACCCACCCAGTCGTGGATTGCAGGACGGGCGACGTAGAGTACAGTTAATAAAACGACCACCACGATTGGGGGAGGGTCAGGGTTGGAAACAGCGATAGAAACAGCCCGGAGACAGAAGGGATGAGAGAGATAGAGAGTAACAAGGCGAGAGAACGAGTGAACGAGAGAGGATGAGTGAGTGAGAGTAAGAGAGAGAGAGAGAGTGTGAGAGAGAGAGAGAGAGAAAAAGAAAGAGAGAGAGTGAGAAAGAGAGCGTGAGAGAGAGTGAAAACTAATGACTGTATGTGTGTGTGCGTCTGTACGCTGTGTGTGAAGCTTGGCCCGGTAGAAGTCCCAGTGACATCGATTTTCCCGTGAAAAGCTTCTCTCTGTCTCTAC